CTCATGGGCCCAGGAGACCCATTTCAGTTCAGCCCTGGGTCCTCCATCCCTGCCCAAGCTACGCCATAGGAGTCTGATCTCCAGCACAGCCACAGCCACAGCCACAGCCATGCCTATGCCCAGCCATGGACCCTGCAGATCTGGACCCAAACACCTTGGATTGACTTCCCAGCTTAACCTCGGACCTGTCCCATCACTATGGACCTGCCTGGTGATTACTGGACTGTGTCTTACCCTGATTGTCATCACCAGACCTGAGCCTAAGCCATGGGCTGACTTTCCAGCTTGACCTCAGACCTATCTCATCACAGTGAACTTGCCTGAGGATTGTGGTTCACCCTCACACATTGTTGCCCATTGCTAGAGGGTCTGGCTGCTTCCTGGGGGATGGGGACCCTGGGAACGAGCACAAAAACACAGTCAGGTGGGCAGGGGCCTCAGCAACCCGGGCTCTGCCCACAGCGCCCACCTGAGGTGAACAGGGTAAGCCTGGAGGTGGTAGTATGACTCCTGTGGCTGCAGGACAGGGGACCATTTCTCCATGTTTTCTTTCTTGGAGGCCTTGGAGCAGAGGCTCTGCTCTCTGCGCATATTTGTGGTGTACAGCAGGCAGCTCCTGCCATATATGAAAATGAATATTCTTTCATTTTCATAGCCTAGCATCAAAATGAATATTTCTTGGGTGTTTTCTCATAAGTTTTTAAAATCCAGTGTTAAGCCAAAATTAAAAGTCACCTCTTATGATCAAAATTAAATAGCATAGTAAAATTTGTTCTCAAAGGATGCAGACAGAAAATAAGAGTACTAGAAACATAGTTAGAAGAGCTTATACCAGGAAATTCGTGAGATTAATACAGCTTTCAATAATGAGTTCCCATTTGCTGTTTCAATAGCTTGTCCTTCAGCATCACCATCAGAGAGCAGAGCAAAAGTGACATTTCCAATTTGCAGTAAGATACATAAATCAGGAATGAGACATTATGTAGTTCTAATAAAGTTCACTGTACTGGTGCCCACAGTGCCCTGTGGAAGGTCAGTATATACATGCTATGAGAATAGTAGACTTCTCTTTCCTCCAAAATGCCAGTTCCCTGAGTCAAACTTTCTACATGTCCTTCATGAATAAGTCAAAGTGGATGCCTGGGACTGAAGAAGCAATTATGAGTTGCTACAAACAGAAATTTCCAAAGGCAGCAGGTCTAGTCCTGCTACTGGGCTTACTGATTGGCTTTTAGTATATCTCTTTGGGACATTCACATAAAATTGCCCTCTGCAATGTTTTCCTAAAGTCAAAAGTTATTCAGTTAGGGAGAAGAAATAATAAAACTCAAGACTAAATTTGTGTAGCATACGTGCTCTGAACAGGCTCCCTTCAACTTAGTCATGGAAGGAAGAAAAGCCAGAAATAAGTTCCAGCTCTTCATTCTTGAATCCATCTGACACTGCTCATTCAGAGGCAGATCGCCTTACTTAGCACCTGAATATTTTTAGTTCCTATTTCTTGGTTCTATTTAAGGCTCATACTACATTTTACACAGGTTTAAGGTTATGGCAATAGTCCTGAAAAGAGTCTTGGGAGAGAGAGGGGGCGTTGGCTACAAGTTCATTTATTTCTTAGCATGATCAGGGCTACTGGAATCAGTTTAGAGCACCAGTCTTCATACAGTTTGGTTACACTGATTTCTGATATAAACACAATGGAACTTTACTCTACGTAAGATCTCATTTTGTGTTAGGCTAAGATCCTGCATCACAAATGTCCTCAAAAACTCGTGTACTTTAACTTGCATTTCTGGCCGTGGATACTTGTAAGTCAAAATGGATAAGAACAGAGGCATATAGAGTGCAATTATCTTTTTTTTCTGAAGTGAGGTCAGTGTGGTTTTTTCCAGGCAATTGTGCTCCATCCTTACCTTGAAATGTGCTTTTTCAGTATAGAGTAATCGCCGGATTAGAATTTCTTCATGCAGACCATCGGATTAGAAAGAGGTTATAGGAAGTTTTCTTAACACCTTTTCTTTTCCCAGACTCAAATACAACCAATTGTGCTAAAATTTGGGATTTTTTTATGCCAAGCTACAAAGGTCCCAGACAGCTTTCTGGGCCATGTCTATGCTTTCATTTAAGCAGGGATACGAGGTAGTTCTCGAGTCTGATGTGGCAAATGTTGTTCGTACATGAATGTTGCTTCGGCCTGTGCTGTCAGAAGCAAGACGTCTGTGCAGATGCTGCTCTCTGGGCATTGGCAGGGCTTTGAACACGTATACACCAGCCAATAGGCAAAGTCTGCTTGACTTTGAGCACACTTTGAGATCAGGTTGTGGGAGAGAAAACAGACCAGAAGTATGTTGCTAATCTCAAGGGCTGTGACACTTGCCTGAGCATATTGGCTAGCGTTACAGTTTAGGAGGGTTTTCTGCTCTCCCTGCTAAAGTGCATTAAGCTGAGATAATGAGCAGGCAGCTTACTGCCCCTGAGCAAAAGGGTAGGGGTCAGCTGAATAGCTGAATTAGCTGAATTGATCTTTGTCAATACAGGTAATTAAAACTAGAGGATATTTGTCTGAAATGTGTCTTGGTTTTCCTTCCTTCTCCCTTTCTTTGTGTGAGTTTACTACATAGGCCTTGAAGGTAATGCTGATGAGTCCAGGCTCAGGGATGGAGAGAACGGCTTTACTGTGGCAAACTTTTAGCATTTGCCAAAGGGGTTTCTTCTTAAAGCAAGTGAAGCTTCTACACTAAAGTAATAACACCTTACTAGTTAACACACGCATGCCTGTGATGGTCGTTATGCCTAGTAACTCAACATTGGCAGTTTAGCATGTCAGCTTGGGGTTTCTGCAAGAGTGTGACACCTGCAGGGTATCTGTTTCTTGTAGATCGCATGCAGGCAGGCAGTGGGTCGGTGGCTGGGATGATAACTCAGGCTGATGAGACCCCCTGCTCTGCTCTGACCACACTGACCGGTCCCCATGGCCCTGAGGTTGTTGGGAAATGCAATGCTCAAAAAGCAGTGTCTCCAGGGGAATTTCTACAGCCTTCTACAAAACTGGGAATTGCGGGCACTTCTGCCTCTTTTTTTCTTGACTTGTTCAATTGTTTCTTTTATCAGCTGTCCCTCAGGGATGAAACCGTCTTCTTGTATAATCCCCCAGCTCTTAGGAATCTCACCGAGGAAGTGCAAAACAGGTTTGCTTCCCTTCTCTCGCCCCCTTCTTCTGTACGCTAAGGCAGTGCTCTGTGTGGCATGTTGTGAGCCAGGCCAGTACCAGGCCACGATACAGCTGGCAAAGGCAGGGTGCTGTCAGTGGAAGAGCACAAGGTTTGTGAGGCAGCAGGAGAACATGTGAGAGGGTGCCCGGTCCCGCCTAGTAGCCCAGTGTGGACCTCTGCAGCATATCAGTAGTGAGAGCCTGCTTATAGGTCTTGCCGCCAGTAATTCTTCTTTGCAAAAGGCATAAGCTGTGCCCTCTGGGCAAGCCACACATGGCTATTGTGCTAAGGGTTAGTGATTTGTCAAATGTGGTTTAAGAGAAAAGAAGTCACTTTCTATATGCATAGAAACAACCCTGGTGTCAAAATAAGCCCACATCATAGGATTTTTGAGAGAGGAAATCCAGTTTCCCTGAGGTGACTGTTTCAAGGTGCGTTGGTGTGGGACCTCTCTTTTGCATTTGCTGTTGGATGCCTTTGGAATGGCAGCAGTCATCATACTGGATATGGGCAAGCCCTTTCTGCACCCACCTAGCTTTTCTCTCATACGAATCCAGAATTTACACATCTAGTGTGACTTTGGGGATAACCTAGTTCTGTAGACAAGCGCTTAGCTTTATAGCATTAACATTCCTCTGTAAATCTGGCTGCTGAGTTGAGGGCCCCATATATGAAATGGAGAGAATAACTGAAGAGATTAATAGTGAGAGGGAATAATTTATAGGCTTTGAAGTAGTCTTATATCTTTATGACCCATACAGGGACCACAAATGGAAAAGCAAATTGTTTTGACTTCAGGCCTACATTAACAAGATAATATTTTCTCTAGGGAAGACCCAAACATGAAAGACCTTGTATAGGAGAAAAGGGAGTAGGCAGAGTTTCACAAAAATTTTAATTGATAGCTTTTATTTCATGTCTAGTAGCATATAAACATGGGCAGACTCTTCCTTCACATCCTTGCCACCAATAAATAAAAACAATTGACGATGTTTTCATTTCAGAGTGATGCCAATACGGCAGCATAGTCCTCCTTCCTCCTAAGCAGAACTTCCTGAACATGAATATCTATCAACAGAAGTGAACTTCCCTACAGCCATGTGGAAAGGGATCCTAGCGCCTGTGTTCCTCTGCATCCATTCAGTACATTGGCAAACAAACTATGAGTATGAGTAACAGATTGACAAATTTCTGGCTCAATGAAAGTGTTGCTAGACACTTGTAACTTGTTCCCGGGTTAAATGCTGTGGCTGTGTTGCAAACACATGCATGCCACACGCAGAACTACATGTACAGCGACATTTACCCACTGTGCTTGGAAAGCGTGAGCTGGAAAAGATGGTAACCCTATGCCGCTAGGTGTACATGTGCGGGGGAGGCCCAATCACAGGCAGATTTAGATACTAGAAAGGCTACAGGAGACTACTCTGTTCCATCTTCCAATCCAGGTAAAATCGTGGAAAGTGAAACACTGAGCCTAGAGTATCTTCACTCCAGTCAAGTGTCCTGCAGCTCATGTAGACAGATGCACAGCTCAGGCCGAGTCACGGCGGGACAACATGCAGGACCAGTCCCCAGCCTCTCGGACGAGGTTTACGGTCTTGTTGCCACAACTGCACTGCTGGTGGTACCGGATCCAGCTGTTTCAAGGTTACCTCTGGTATGTCTACATGAGCTAGCAGTTCCCCTTTGACTGAAGTGGAGATGGAGCCTAAATATAGATTTGTGATCATACGTGATGTTGCAAGACAAAAGCACGAGGTTCCTGGCTCGATGTATCTTTTTTACGTTGTTTCATCCTTCTTCAAAAGCAGCCTGCACAGGCTGCATTGACACAGATTTCACACAGATCGATCTCTGTGACAGCCATGTCTGTTAGGGATAAAAGAGAGAGTTTCAGTGAGCTTGCAAGGGAACTTCTCGGAGAGCAGAGCCACACATCAAGTGATTTGGAGGCCCCTTCCCACTAGTGCTTTATGACATCTGATGTTCATTTAAGTTATCAATGGGAACATGTAGAGGCAAGAGAAAAAAAGGACTTCTGCTGGGAGAGCTGGGAGGAACGTGGCCTTAAACCCTCTGAAGTGGCTTGCAGAACCACAGCCTTAGTTATATCAGTGGCATTTCTTCCTAAAGTATCCAGAGTATTGGAGAGTAAATGAACACAACATAGTAAAATAAAAAGAGCAGACATTGTAGCAGCCAGTTTGAGAACAGCTGTGCATGCCTTGGACACGGACAGTGTCAAAGATTGATTCACTGCATCTACATCTCATACCTATTTTAGGCTACCTGGAAATGCACTTCCCCTTGCACTGAGTAGAGAAAAGTTTAAACCTGCTCCCATCTTGTAGCTAGCTAGAGTGATATAATCCTTCCTTTTCTGCACATCAGACTCAGTCATGGGCCCTCCCACTTTAAATTGCATCAGTTGTTGTTATCTGCTTGGAGGAAGCTTTTTCACAGCTGCAGTAGCCTGATATGTAGAGGGAGGATATGCAGGAGTACGTTCCACTGCAGAAATCCCACCCCATGCTGCAGCTGAGCTCAGTACAGTGCAGGTCTTGTTGTGGAGGCTCATAGCTACTGCAGTTCAACCCTTGTGGTGGGGAGGGTAAAGGTAGCATGAACTCTCTCAGCTGCTTTAGAAGGGATAGAAAAGTACTTTTCTTTGCTTCTATTTGAACATTTAAGGTTGAAAAGCACAATAAAAACTGAGGACTTGGCAATGCAAACTACATACTCAGCCTTTCAAAAATCACGGGTGCATCTTTTCTTTCACACACAGACTGGAACTCTTCAGGGAGATCTTTTTCTTTACATGGAGACCAGATAACCTTCATGCGAGGGTTAATGTCTGTGTCTTTGTCCATGAGCTCCTTTAGCTTCTTCACGGACTCAAGAGAGAATTTCAAGTCTCCATCCTATGTAGACAGAATAGAAAAAAGGCACCAGGAAGTCAGTCCTTAGCCAAATGCATTCCTTCCAACTGAAGTCTGTTCAATTGTGAGCTCTCCAAAGAACTACACTATGGGAAAAAGAGGCTTTGATGAGACAAAGCCGAGAGAAAACCAGCGCTCACTGAAGGCAAAATGATCAGCTCTTCAATTCAGACACCTTTCAGACCATCTGTGATACGAGGCTGGCTTGTCAGGGCTTTTGCTGTGCAGCACACTGGACTGAGGCAACAGCAGAACTAGGGCACTTCTCACCCCCTTGAGAGAGACCCATGTCATCTGGGCTAGAAAGATATGGGCTGTCAGTCCTCAGCCTAGAAAGGAGATAACTGGGCAGCATATGGTACAGATCTACAAAATCACAAGTTGAATGGAAGTGAGTGGGGATTTATTTTGTTCACTCTTTCTTCCAGCACACCAGTAGAGACCTTCAAGTGTTGCTGTCACATGGCAGGCTCAAAACAAACTTAAGGAGCTATTCCTTCACACACAATGTTGTTAAGAGCTGAAAGCCTTCTCCCCAAGATATTGTGGCTAGTTTCCATGAGTTTAAGACGTGTCCATGCATTTAATGAAGACAAGTTTATTGAGAGCTACTAAACAGGACGTTTCCAACTCAAAGGTCCTGACAAAAACTTCTGGAGGCTGGAGAGTATTCTGGGAAGTATTACTCCTTGTTCTAGATTTTTCATGTGCATCTGTTAATGGTTATTCCCGCATGGTTTTGAGTGAATCACACTGCTAGGTTCATAAACTTAAATTGCAGACGTTGCAATTGTTATGTTAGGTGCATAGGATTTGTACACATCTGCACAGAATCAGAGTTTGGTCTAGAACAGGAATAGGCATTTTCCAACTGACTTTTAGTATTTGTTTTACGTGGTTCAGTGACGAATAGATAGTCAACAGTATAATCACATTCACCTACTCATTCAAAGAAATAAATTGAAGTGAGACTCCTTAGGGCACGAAACACTGCTTCATAGTCTCATTAGCCTGATGTGGAATTGCATGAGACACTTATTCTCCGGTTATAGTATCCAAATAAACCCCAAACTGTGGGCATGCATTTACTTATCAAGAGTCAAACCCTCTTCTACTTCCAATCAGTTTATGATTTTTCTCAGATTAACTTATCAGTCATGGTTGTCTATGAAAAATTAATCGTTCCTGTAGAAATGCAATTCCAGATTCAGTTATTGGTCACAGACTATAGACGCATAAGATAGAACAAAAAAGGGAAGGATTTCCACAAATACAGCTCCACAGAAACCAAAAAGGGATGAAATGAACTTTATTTCTTCATTCATTCTTGGGATTTCCCCTACCTAATATCACTACCTAGCAGGAATAAGCCCTAAGACATGTGTACATCCTGGTAACAAAAAAGCCCTGTCATCTGAAGTAAGAATGATGTTTTCAAGAGAGCACTCAAACTGACCAGCAACTTCCCTCCAAGTTGAAAATGCATATTGTGCTGCTAAACCACCAGATCTTATTACAGAAATATTGCAAGGCAGAATAATCCCTCTCTGTAATTTCTCTGCTTGTAATAATTAGCACAATTAGCAAAGCATCTTCCACAGACTTCCATTGCATTCACTCAAGATTTGTGCCAGAAAGTGTCCAGGAGCTAAAGCTTCAGAGCTGAACTTTCTACACCTTCGTACCTCCTAGAAACAGGTATTCTCATTTAGTTATTTTTTACAGCTCTAAGGGGAAAATGGAGATTTTTTCATTTAACAGAAAGCTAGATAGCACCAGAGACTCTCAGTGCTAATGAAAGGTTTGAAAGAAAGGAGTAGCTGAAACCTGCAGCCTCTGACACCCAAAGGAGAAAAAGAGGTTATTTCAAAGCACAAGCCTGGTACCTTATCACTCCCTGGAAACCTCCTGTACATGCATAGAAAGAATCAACTTGTTTAAGAAATATTAGCTGCCTTGGTACTCCAAGGAAGTTATTTACACTGCAATAAAACTAAGGTCTCCCAAATCATTTCTAAGGAGCGAGTACAAACAGATCTAACACTGCCAGGTACAGACTGGAGTGCTGAATGATCTACCCAACTTATTCCTCATTGCATGTAACCTCAATCATGGATGCTATGCAACTTGTAAAACTTGATATTAACTTTTTTCTCCTTCTCCTATAGCTTATCTGCCCATTAATATTCCTTTGTGTCTATCTAATCACTCCTTTCTCTTTTTTATGTGTGATACGTGTAGACTCTGTCACATAAGCCTGCAGATCATTTTCAGAACGAACTTCCCACCCACAAGCAGATGAGACAAGACATACTCTCTTTGGTCTCAGCTTGTTTACATCCTCCTGTAAAGTTAGAGATGTCCCTAAGTAATGCAGCTTCACAACACATGGGGTTACTTGCACAAGAAAACTCTGGAAAAAATGGTGCCTCACTCAGTAGGGGATTTCAGAGCAGTGATGTGGCTAATGAAGTGACACCAAGTGGCAGCGGTCAGTTAGAAATATATGACCTATTTTACAGAGAGAGAAATCGAAACACCGGAAGAGGACGTCACATATCAAGCCGGAGCAAGGCAAAATTTAGCTCTACCAGTTTAGTTTAAGATTTCTGTTTCAGTCACACCTCATATAAGCTCAGTATTTTGCTGAACTTGTAATACTAATAAAATAAAGAGCAGAAAACTCACCTGAACATAGACTGTCTGGGAGCTGTGCACCAGTGAGAGGAGCACAAGGATTGTAAAGGAAAGCAAGCCGTTCATATCAGCTGCAAAGTGTAGCCTCTCCTAATCTGAATATCTTTACTTTTCTTCTGATTTGACCTTAAGTGCCCTTTTTTTGTGTCTATTGGACTCCTTCTCCCTCTTCTTCTGAGCGCTCGGCACTTCTAGCAATCAGAGCTCTGTCTTCCCAGTGCAAAGAGAAGCTTTATAAAGCCTTCACACAGCATTTGCTTGGTAATTCATTAATCTAAACTCTTTATTGACATACAATAACCCCTGAGTGGCGTTCCAGTTATCTACTCATTGGCAGAAGAGGACAGTTACACCCAGGCAGATCCTGGTGTTTATGAGTCTCTCCTAGTTTGAGAAAGTGGCTATAACTCAGACAAGCAAAACATTACCAGAGACATTACAATTACAAAACATTAGCATCGCCTGTGATAAATGGTAGAAGATGGGCTTAGCTCTAGCACAAAGCCTGAAACTATACAGGGAATGCCCTCCGGTTGCTGGCCACTTCCTGCAAAGCTGTGAGAACGAAAGAGATTTGGAAGGAGATAGCAAATATTTGATCACTTGCATTGTACCCTGGCCAGGCATTTCCCTCTTCTGGGAACTCCAAATACCAGCGCAGCAGCAATGGGCCAGGTGCAGCTGGACATAGTGTGTGCCTGCATAGGAGCAGATCTACAGTGTCCTCTTGCTGCTGCACTTTGCAGCACCTTATTAAAAAGCATATATTTAAATATACAGGGATTACCATTATAAATAAAGGCCGCTAGGAATCAAATCTATTTCTCTTGTCACTTTCAGTTATATCTTGAAACGTCATAATGTCACAATGATGGAGAAGCATTGACATGCTTGACTCAGCTCAGTTCAGTTCTGCTCATCAAGCTCAGGTCCTCTGAACCCCTTCAATCCATAAATGATTTCTGGCATGTTATGGCTTTCGAGGAACAGCAGCTGTCACATGGAACGCTTTTCCTGCCATCGGCCCCCAGCAGAATAGAGGGCAGGAGCCAGGAACAAAATGATTGAGCCTTCTCAAATCTCTGCAATGTTTTGTGCTGGCAAAGGATAATAATGAGTTCTCACCATATCCCAATACGTTGCTAGGATTGCAGTGAAGTCTAAGGAACAAATAAAGAGCTAAGGACGTTAACGTGACCTTGCTCTGTGTAATACTGGACAGTTGGAAAAGACCACTAACTTTGGCTCATGACAATTTTTTTTTTTAAATAGTTCAAACTTTCCACTACAGGTACAGGAAAAAAGAAGGAAGGCAACTAGCATGCTTGAGATTGAATTATTAAGCACATCGTTCATTTTGATAACGTTTTTAATTCTCTTTCCCTTTAGCTACAGGAGGACTTTATAATGGAATTCCTCTTGTCTAACATTCATTTAAGTGATGCTAAAGATGGTAGCAGACGTCTTCACTGCAAAAGGGAAAAGTCCAGATAAGATGGGCAGTTACGCCATTGTAAAACAGTGATCCTAATCCTTTGAACATGAAATGAGACAAGCACACATGAGAGAGAACAGAAATGGACAGAAAAGCTAGAAAATTTAGGCTCTGTTTTTATGCTGTTTTTCACGACTCAAGCCTGTGGGCCTAGTTACTCCAACGCTGATCAAGGTTATAGCAGCAAAGCACTCAACGGCCTCTTACTAGAAGCTCTGGAAGCTTTGCAGAAGTGTCAGAGGAGACTGGCGTGCCTGAAATCTATCTAGAGGAAGTCAAAGGTAAGAAAGGAACTAAATATAGGGAATAAAAAGGGCATACTGAGGAACATGAAAGAGGCAATCAAAACCCCACGTCCCATGACACACCTGGTTCCCAACACCACAGGGGCAAGATGCCTGTCAGAGGATGGATTATGACATTTCATCAGCGTCATGCTTGAACCGAGACATCCTGATGGCATGCCATGATGGAAAATCTCCTTGTTCTTCATTCAGTTTTCTTCTGACAGGAGAGAGGTAGAAACTCTTGCTGAGCTAATCTTTTAAACACCTTCAGAGAGAATGGTGGCTGGCTTACACCTTTGCTTTCCACTTTATCTAATAGTTATATCAAGTTCTGATAGGCCAGTTTTGGTCCATTATATCACATTCCTCATTCTTCTCTTTGCTTGGGTAACATTAAGATAATGCCTGTTATGTTAATAAATCTTTGAGTGGCACTATTACACTTTATTGTTTGAATTCATCCTGTCTACTTATAAGTTTTGAAACCCCAAACTGCCAAGTACCTAGGAAAAAAGACTCCCTGCCAAAACTCAGATCATGCATTTCCCTTGCTTGGATCTCTGCTCCTCACTATTGTGAGGAAGGGGTGTCCCACTGTAATCAGCCCCTGTAGTGGCTAGGATCAATAGATATTTCTGTAAAAATGCATGCTTCTCATGGCTTTCTGTAGACAGACATCTGACCAAAACTCAGATCATGCATTTCCCTTGCTTGGATCTCTGCTCCTCACTATTGTGAGGAAGGGGTGTCCCACTGTAATCAGCCCCTGTAGTGGCTAGGATCAATAGATATTTCTGTAAAAATGCATGCTTCTCATGGCTTTCTGTAGACAGACATCTGAGACCTTTCTCAAAGTAGTAAGCTGCTCCCTAGTGGCCTGAGAAACTCCTGTGTGGCCAAGCTGCCCTTGCTGGCTCTGAGTGCAGGAGGCGAGTGTAACTCAGGGCCTCGTCCATCAGCAAAGTCACTCCAGAGGTGGGAATGGGTGGGGGGGAGCCTCTTCCTGCAGGAGGTCTCAGAAAAGACATGTCCGAAGATGAGAGCTCGAACCTGAGTTCCTCTTTTTTTTCCAAGCGTGGGGTGACACTGAGAGCCTCCAGGTAGTCTGCCATAGAAGAAGGCGCTCGAGGTGTCTCTGGCGCGCAGCGTGCCCTTTTTCCCTGCAGAAAAGCCAAGAAGCCCTCGAAGCAGGACAGCAGAGACTTACATAGAGCTCCCTGGGTTTCTTTCTGTGGGTGGACTGACTTGCCCTGATCCTGTGCCTGCTCAGTGGGACTGCGGATAGCACCACAGAACTGGAGAAAAAGACTTACTGGCTGTAATAGTCCAGAAGGACACCTGTGGCAAGCTTCATTAGCCACCCAGAAGTGTTCTCTAGCACTTTCCTTGTACCTCAGCTCAACTCATGGCCTCTCGGAAAGGGGGAGGAGAGCTTTGCAGCTTCACAGCAGGCCAAGAAAGAGGTGCTGAGAAGCAAAGGCGAGAAGAGAAAGGCACCTCAAAGCAAGGTTGCCTTCAGAGAAAACATCTTGCTTACAGC